GCCTGGCAAATTCCTGGTTAAAYTTAACCTGTCTAGAGTCACAAAATAACATAAAGCCAGCTCGGTTTTTCAGAAGGTAACAAAAGACAGATACTGCACATATTTCACTAAGGAGGATGTTTATTTTTCCAAATATTGTATTAAGATAGTGTCCTGTTTGCCTATTTCTATCGACATCTGCTCTGGAATACACAGAATGACAAAAGATCAAAGTTTTAATTGTGCAAGTGAAAGAATGTATTAATAACATTCTTTCTGTCCTACAGCAACAGAGATAAACTTTAAAAAAAAAACCTTCTAACAGCTCAGAGAACAGGATATTTATATAAAGATGTCCTAACAAAAGAAAAGCATGCAAAAACTACCTTAAATGGATAAACAAACTGCGCTCCCTGTTTGCAGTGTGMCTGTTGAGCTCAGCCCTCAGAAATCCCCTCCAACCTTCAGTCAACAGGGTCAACATATCTCAGCTGGCTTTTACATTTTTATACAAACCTCCCTCAGCATCCTTTGTTCACCAGCCCTTTAAAATCAGGAAAATGCATGCAGGTGTGCCTTTAAGGCCCATTTTGCTGCTGATTGCTTTAGTTTCCCTCTCCCAGGCAGTAAGTTGTTTAAGAAGAGGGGTTTTTGGATGGGTTTTTTTTTTTTTCACTTCTAGCTCTTTCCTCATCCCCAAAGGCTGCATTGGGGATCCTCCACAGGTCTTTGGAGACTCATGTTATGCCAGGACAGCAGCTCTGTGGAACACATACCACAAGCAGTACCTCCTCCTCAGGAGATGTTATTTCTCTTTGGCTCTCTGGAATTTGTTGCTGTTTGTCCCACTGCTGCCACTCACTAATGCACAGCACACTTTGAGCTGGCTGTCCTGCTCCTCTTAAAGTTTTYACACCATTCTCTCCCTGCCAGGACAGCAGCAGCTGCCTGGATCCGTTCAGGGCTCTGCCTTGCACACACTRAAGGGAAAAACACAAACCCACAAACCCCAAACCAAACCTTTAAAGAACTGGGACTCCCCAACTTGGTTATCTCACCCAAAGCAAGGCCAGCAGCCTGTGGTACCCGAGTGGGGCCAGGTTTGTCAGTGGTTTCCTTTCAAACTCAAAGCTCTGAGTTCTGAAACAACACTGACAAGTAAAGTTCCCTTGCCACCTCCACCTGCATGGAGGGAACACAAACAGAGCTGGAATTGTCTCAGGAAAGTCTACACAGAGGACAAGCTYAGCCAGGGCTACCTGCACAGCAAAGATTGACATTTGACAGTGACTCTCAATCTGTTTCCAAAATATCTTACACAAAGTGCCAGACATTCTCCATCCCCTTTGTCTTTAAGAAAGTTTMATATTAATTTAGCTCCTTTTGAATCTACTTCCAAGCTAGAGCCCAATCCATCCGAAATATTTTTACAAGTGACAAACTGAATYAAAAGCACACGGAACACCCACTCTGGGCTCACTCAGTTCTTCCAAACCGTGGTAATTTGGGATAGAAGGGACACCAGATTTACTACAAAGCTGCAACCTGCACACAGACAGGCCAGTGAAGCAACTCATTGTAGAAGGGAAAGTGGACAAAGCACTTCCTTTTCTTTTGTGCTGTCCCCTCATTCATAATAACRTCCTCTAAGACATCTGCTGGAGTCCTGTAACACGAACGGAAATGGAAGAGCTCCAATGGGAACTCGGGGGTTTCTTTCTTTTTCCCATGAACTGAACATTATGGAATTTTAACAGATGTTCTACTTGGTCATAGTTAATAAAATGAATTATGCAGGAATTAAAAACCTGGCTCCATTTGCTTATATAAGATGTCAGCAGCAGAACTCCATTCCCRTTTAGGAATTCTAAAGGATTTGCAGTGGATTTATAGTCTGCTCCTGCCTTATAATAAGATGGCTGGAGATTTTACAAGTYAACTTGTCTCTGTTGCAGAAAATATGAATAAATTTACCTGTTCATGGATTGTTGTTAGTGGCATGATCCAGTTTCCACACTGGTGCACACTGGTACACTGCAGCCTTAGGAAGGGAGAATTCTCACTTGGATTTGCTTTGGARATGACATCATGGGAATTCCACATCATTTCACAGCCTCTGATTTCTGCCATTTATTCAAARTCTCATTGAGCAACCTAATAGCCATATTCCCACTCTGTGCTTCATTCCAAAAGCCTTCCACTTGGAGCACAGATGGCTCTTTCAGGCTTCTCCTGCCAACAGGATGATGCACTGTCCATCACCTCCCTTTCCATTTTAGGATTAGTTCAGTGTAACTATATCAAAGGAAGACAGAAAGACCAAAATGTAATGGAGATGTGAGAGAAGAGGCACCAAAAAGGTGAAAAGAGTCACAGCCAAAACTTTCAAGCCTGGAGGTTCGCTCAAAGTTATTTCCAAAAGCATTACGTATTTAGCCATCTTCTTTCTCTTCCAATATCCATCTGCTCAGAAAGCATTCTGAGGAGATCAAGGGGATAAGTGAGAGTGAGAATCAAAAATGAAGGATGAAAAAAATCACCTTGTACCAGCAAAGCAGCTAAAGCCAATTACACGGAGCACAGTAAGCTGACCCAGAAAGATCTGCTATGCTRAAGCAAAAAGAAGAGGCTTCCACACCACACTCCATCTATAAACAGATTTATTTTAACCGAAATTCAATCAACTGGCAAAAAATCTCTGTCTAGRAATCTGCTTGATACAATACACAAAAGTTTATCCCAATTGCGACAGCTAAAATTAACCATTCTTAAAGTCTGGCTCAAGAATTTTTCCAGCACAAGAATATTATCATCTGAAAAGCAGCAATATTCCCAGGCTCTTCCAATTTTTTTTAATGAAAACTCCTGCACTGAAGACMCACTACCCAAAAATTCCCACTCCATTATAACTAAACAAAGGGTTTTGTGYAGGCAGAGAACCAAAGCATGTAAACAAACCTTGTAAGTATAAAAGTCAGCTAGAATTAAATATTAGCCTATGTATGCTAGGTAGCTACCTGGATGTGTCCAATAATGAATTAATACAGATTTTTATCTGAAAATAAAGACTTCCCCTAAAGGAAGAAGTGTACTTAAAGAGAAGGAAAAATACCAAGATTAAATGTCAAGATTACAAGAGCTCCAGCTGAAGTTGCAATAAGCTGTTGTTACTCATGTGGACATTGCTTGATAAAATTTAGTGTCAGAAAAATGCATGAGACTTAACAGTGTTAAATTCAAAGATTTTGTTTTCTTTTTTCTTCTTTTTAAACATCACCTATGATTTGCTTCATTTTGAAGAGAAAGCACATTTCATTTGGTAATCATTTATTTCTCATTCTATTGGACAGATTCTCCCAAAAAGCAATACTTCAACTGAAATCAGTTCTGAAGGATCTTTTATGAATATACATAATAGAGAGGACCCCCATTAAATTTCCAACAAAGTGTTGCCATTTTGAGTAAACAAAGTTATCTCAGCAGGGTCACACACTGTGCCACGGATATGGTCTGCAAATTAATTACCACCCTGACATATGTCAAAACAAATTTTAAGGAGAATAGCACACAGTAGCAACCATGTGCTTTATCTACCTGTTAGTATGCAAAATCTGTAGCCAATGGGATCTAAATTTATTCATTTATTCAGAACCCCTCAGAGAAATCAAAATGATTCGTATTCATTGGCCTTTTTTACCCGTCTGCAAATGAAATCTGAGTGAATAACGTGTTTAGTGAGCCAGAAAATAAGTACAGGACAAAGCTGTGGTGGGGGTTACATTTCAGAAAAGCAGGTGTCATTTCTGCACAAATAACTAATTTCTTAAACAATCAAAACTGCTAAAATAGACTGCAGTGCATTAGCATTTGTCAGCACTTTAGGAACACAAAGTTTGGTGTTTCTTATTTTAGGTAATACCCATCTTTATTCTGTACTTGTAATAAGACAGGCCAACAAAACTGTCCTGCAAACAGTGTTCAGCATGAAGAAAGGCTTTAAAAAGCAGAGCTACTGAATGCAGGTTACAAAGCCTCTGAAACTGGGCTTTATTATCAATGGCAACACAGCCAACAGATCTGAGCCTGTTTAAAACAAAAGAGGGAAGATCCAAACCTCCTTTACTCACCTGAGTTATGTGAGAAGACAAAACCATACACCCAACATCAAACATGTCACATCTCTCTATTTTAGGTGCACACACGATGCAACTTCTGCTTTGTCAAAAGAAGATTGACAAAATCTGACACTGAAACAATTTTAGACTAGGAGTTTATCAGTAGTATTTTCTACTTCTTTTGTAATCTGTCCTCATATCAAACACTTCCATGTCATTAATCCTAGAATTCACTGTACATTTATGAAAAGATTTAGTTTAGGAACTGTTTTCTTCCAAGTGGGCCAAAATATTTTTAGCTCTATTATTTTTTTCCACCAGTGAAATACTTCTGATTTAGAGTTCAGTAATGCCATATCAAATGTACAGACTGGGTGACTAAATGCATTTCTTTCACACATTAAAAAAAAAGAAAAAAAAGAGAGAGCACAGTCCTTTCTACACACAGATGACAAATAATCCTTTGGCATCTGCTGACATATATATTTAAAGAAAGCCTAAATCTGTCTGTGCTAAACTTGGCCTGATGCCACCAGTTCACCATTGTTGGCATACACAGTTCACATGATGCAATCACAAGACTTGAAAAAGTTTCCAGTACTTCATTTCATGGTTTTCTCATGTTAACATATACCTTTCCATCCTTTTTCAATTTAGCAGCAACAGAACCGGGAGACAGGATGGCAAATGAATTTTTGCATGTATCAAAGGTTTTCATAGTGCTCATTATCAGCATTCTATTTAAATTGCAGACTGGTAAGTTATCTGGAATGAAATATGTTGGGATTTAGAGCTTATGGTTGGAGCAAATGATCTCAATTGTATTATTATCTCCCGTCAGAAAACTTAAGTGAGGCAAAGGAATCAATTAAAAAAATATAAAAGAGAAAAAGACAAATGTTTTACCTCTCTTAATACYGTGCTCTTATAGCCCCGATAAAGTCCTTGAATACCCTGTAAAGCAACAAAAGAAAGCATCATCCACAGGGAATGAGTTTGTCAAAGACCACAATTTATTGGTGATTACGAGGCAAGCATTACAGCCCTAAAGTGTCACTCCTCAGCTTCAAATTGACTGTATTGATTATAACACTGTATACTGTATTCCATTATTTACAGTGCCTGAGGGTTTTATTTTCACCTCCTTAGCCTTGATTCAGAGCCTTTATCAAGACAAATGTTTTATGTTTTTAACCAGCTGATAATATTCAAAACAATTAAAACTTATAAGCGTATATAAAATTATGTTGTTGATTATTATAGGGCACTTAATTCAAGTGTTTGGCAAGGTTTATGGTTCTCTGGCCAGCTATATGGAAAGGGAAGAACATATGGTTTTGAGARCATCAGCTTTTAAAGCAGAAAGATCAAGTCACAGAAAGTTCTACTGACCCTCYTGTGCAGGGTTATCACAATAGTTTTCATTTGAAAGCAAATAAAAATCAAGTGGATCATTTAAAGGTCATATTTATGTCTTCCTTTCCCTGGGTTTTACACTAAGAAAACGTGTGTAATATATTTCCCCACAGTGTTTTTAGGAGCCACTTTTCCTTATGGAGCACAGCTTGAAAATCACCCCTTGTGAAACTGCTAAAACAGAGGTGAACAGGTTTTTACAGGAGGGAAAAACATAACTCCTGAAAAGAAGACAAAGGCCCTTATTTTGCAAAAGTAACCAATGCTGGATGAGCACTCATTTCCAGAGTTCCTCCTGGCTCCTACAGAGCCTCTCTGAAATGGTGCCTTTTGGACATCCCCTCCAAAGCCTGCTTCAAAAACTGAGAACCATCCAGCAAACTACAAACAGGGACTCGATGTCCTGCTGCCCCAGACAAAGACTGTGCATAAATACAGGCAGAACTTTGGAACCTGGAAGCTAAATCCCTTTTTTTTTGTTCTTTTCCCCCTTTTCTCCTCTTCAAATTTAGGTACCCCTAAATGAGGAGGGTACCTAAATGAGGTACCTCCTTTAATGAGGAGAAAAACAGAGTTGTTGGAGTGTGTATGTAAGTGTAAGGGGGAGGTGGGAGTTTGGTTTCCTCAATCATCACACACCAATCACTTTTAACAAGAGAAGAACAGAGGAAAAGTGCTGGGACAGCACAGAACTGRAATAAAATTGTTGGAATGCTTCTGGACGTGTGTGGCACTGAATGGGAAGGATAAATCAAATTCTTAGAAACCCTGCTGAGAACTCACCTCATGGTAYAAGGTGTGGGAGAGGATCCGGAGGGTGCTGGAGGAAGGAGAAACCTGGGCCCTTTGCTTGACAACCTCYGATGGAACCCGGATGAGACAGGCAACCTGCAAGAGAAACAGAGGCTGAGTGAGCAATTCCCCCGGCTGGCTTCCTCTTCTTACAGCAAACACTTCTTCCCAGCACAGAAATGAGGAAATTTGGTTTGCAATTACAAGAATTGAACTTAATAGATGTTCAGAAGCAGCTCATGTATTTGTTCTGAGTACCGCGTTCTTTCTGATCACAAAATTATACTAACATGAACATGGAAGTACCCTTGGAATTTTTAACTTCCAAAACAGAAGTAGATTTGGGTGTAGAAAATCACTTATAAAACCAAAATTTGAAGCCATCCTSCCTTTTGGCAGTCACAGGAATTTTCCTTTCACACTTTCACAGGTCTATACTGGACATTCGGAACTGTAAGAGCAGCAAATTTCTTTCTTTGGCAATTCCTGCATGCCCTCTAGTGACTGATAACGAGAAACATTCTGGTCAGCTTTAGACACACATGACATATTCCGAGGTTTTCCTTAAAATACACACCACACTTCATTCAAGGTAAAGAACTGGATTGATTCTTTCCTACAGAATGGATTTATTGGGCAAGAAAGGGCCCTGCAGTTGGATGTAACAACGTGGCTGCTGCCACAAAGCTCCATCTTTTCTGAAAAAGCCAGGCTTGGATTTCAAACATTCACCTGCCACTCTGGCTTCAGGTAGGGGTTAAGCTTATGTACACACAAGTACATAATTTGATAGAATGAGGAGCCTGAAGTGTGGGAGTTATAACCCTCTCATYTCTCTAGAAAATGCCCTTTTACTCAAACTTTTAAGAAGAGTTTGTTTTTAGCTGGCTCCAGGGTTACTTAAAGCAGTGATGGGACTGGAGGCAAAACAGTGCAGACACCACAGGTCTTTGGCAGATTTTCAGCCTTCCTGGGGACCATCCTGGCTCAGGAACACACTGTAGTTCCCAGACACAAAGGGATCACCAAGTGCAGAGCAGCCCAGGTGAAAGCTGTCCATCTGAAATGGCAAACTAAGCAGCTAACTGGGAAATCCATGKGTGCCAAACAAAAGTACAGGAATTCACTGGAGATTGCACAGGGATAGTAACTTGAGTGGTCATTTGTGGGTAACACGGTACAAGGTTTAAGTTTCATTTTTCACAAAGACACCAAGAAAAAATCTGTTATCCTGTTACATTCCTACAAGTTTWCTGGACAACAATATCCAAAAGTCATTACGAACAGATCTAACTCCATGTGCTCTTCAATTCTCAGGGTCAAAAATAACAAGTGACCCCAATCTGTCAAGAAAATAAGAACTGTCAAGTTTTTTGATAGTTCAGCATAAATATTTATAGAACTTCATGCTTCATAACACTCCATGTCCTTATATTAGCTTTTTATTCCTTAAAAATATGGAGGCAGGAGGAAAGCTTTAAAAAGGCTGGGATGAAAACAATCTAGTCAATCAAGACCAGACAAAGAGCACAGCGTGGCTTCCTGACATCTGGGGTGCTGCAGTTTTGGCAGGAGAAGGGTGGCTACAAAGTAATGTCTCCATTTCCCCCGGACTACTCGGGGTGTGTTTCATTTCAAATTAACTTTGATGTTTCTCCCATTTGAATTTGCGCTTACAGGGGAGTCTGCGGCTGCACAAGAACAAAAACAATGATTACATTGTGCTGTTCTGAGAGGAAATAAAGGCTCCTGTCACCCGGGCAGCGCTGTCAGATTGGCTCCATAGGGCACTTCTGGCACTCAAACAGCCATGAGCTCCAGCTGCCAACATCAGCCCACAAAGTGACATTTTCACTGCGCACCTGAACTTACAAAGTGTCACCTTGTTTGTTCCTACACATGCACCTTCCTATCAATGGCAACCCCAGCAGCCTTTTGATGTGGAGAACAGCTCCTCTAAAGGGAAGTATGCAAGATTAAGTTCACACATATCTTATTAGAAAAGTAACAGCCTGGACGGGYGGGTGCAGAAAAATCTCATTTTTATCACGCTCAGATCTCAGCCAGTGCCTTCCAGGTAAGGCTGCCAAAGGTAGAAGAGCACAATGCATGTCTGCAGGTTTGGCTGTTTTTGATAAGGATCCTCAAGCAGCACCAGTATGATAACTCTGCACCAAGAGAACCCACACCTCAATTTTCAGACATGAAAGCCACAAGCAAATGGCACAGGAATGGTGAAAGACCAGGCTGAGCAGCCACCCCACAGCACCTGCTCACATCCACACTTCTCCCTGCACCCATCACAGGACTATCAGACATGGAACACTGACCATAATGTGACAGTGGGGCCATTCAGCTCTGGAGCCAGAGTTATCATCTTTTGATAGGAGCAAAAAGACAGAATCGAGATCCTGGGGAAKTTCAGGTGCTCCCCTTTAAGCTCTTTCCTCATTTACCAGGTTAGGAACCACAATGTCAATGTACACCTATATATAATAAGGGAATGAAGCCAATAATACTGAAACAAAAGTCAAAAAAAAAAATTTAAATTTAAACTTTAGAAAAACCTGATTTTACAGCTCCAAGCAAAGCTGTATTTTGTTTACAGAGCATGTATGCAGACATGACAACATTAGCACCTATTACCTTTTTAATGCTATGACCACTTCTGAGCACCAGGGTACTGAATTTCAAAATCCTTGTCTCAAATTATTACCAGGTCAAAGGGCGACTTCAGTATTTAGACAAAAACATAAGTGCATTTCTAATTTACTGACTTGCATTAGGCAGTCAGGGACAAAAGCTAAAACCAGGTCTATTTCATTAACATTTATCTATGTATTGCTAAGACAGTGCGCATTCTAATTAAATTAAGGTAATTTCTTTCCGCTGTCAGTTTCAGGGAAAAGCTTTTTAACTTTTGGATACTCCTTACGTGAATCAACGCTGCCATCTCCTGGTTGGATTTATGCTGGAGCCAGACTTTGCTGGCTGTTCTGACCGATGGCAAATGACCACTCCAAATAAAGTCTCCAAAGTGCCATGAAGTTTTATATATATAGATTTAAATGGTTTGTTTCAGTATAAATGTGGCTGTAACTAACAAAAAATAAAATCTGCTGTAACCTGCCCAAAGCCTTTTCTAGTGGCTCATCTAAGTTTATTGGAAACCCCTGATCCTAAAGCTGTAAGTTCTGCATAGGGGCCAGTCCCACCTAAAGCTAGAGCAGCTGTTCAGAATCAGGCAGATTCATCCAATTCAGCACAAGGATACTGAGCACTTTTCTTTAGGCAATAACACAAAATATATAACAAAAAAAAAGGACAAAGRGGGGATAGTGCTGCTTACACAGAAGTTCAGCAAACAAATAGAGATAACGCCAACACCTTTAGAAAAGAACACAGCACCTCCTGGTCTTCAGTGCTSTRCTATGATCCAAATATTAACATATYTTACTTGGATTAACAGCCTTTTGCTTCCTCTCTTTCTGCTCCAGGCAAAGCATTTTCCTCCCCAGCTGGATTTGTAGAGTTTGACAGAGAATCAAAAATKACACATATGTTCATTTTTAGGCACCTCTGCTACAGTTTGACCACTAACCTTGTGATCTGTCCCTGAGGTGTATCCAGRAGCATTTGGAGGAGGACAGAGCAGGTGTTATAATTTTCTAATTGCTGTTCAGRGCTTAGGCTGGGTATTTAAACTGGKCTGGAGCACRGGTTTCCTCAGAACCAGSRGCACAGCYGGTACAACACTGTTTCAGCTCAGCAGCTCTAAGGAGAGCAGCTTGAGAAAGCATTTCTCTCCTCCTGCAGCACCTTGCACAGCTCTCACACTCTCCTAAAAGCTCCCAGAGCCACAGGGGCTCAGCTCTTGTTATCTCTAACAAGAGGCAGATATCACCCCTGCTGTAAGAGATCCTACCAAAGACTCAGAGCCCAATTCCTGGCACCTGAGGAGCTCCTGGSTAACGAGCTGATCTGTTCTCTGCACTAACCTGGGCTTGGGTGAGCATCAAGACCAAATGGTTTTCGACTCAGTAATTAGCCAGCCATTCTGCTTCATGGGAGGAGAAAGGTAGTCTGAGGGTAAAGATTCTTCTGGAATTTGTGAGCAGCTGGTGATTCAGGAACTCTGTGGCTCTTAGCAAACCTTTGGCTTGCTTAGCTAAGCCTACTTGAAAATTTACYACAGAAACATGGAGTAAGCTCCAGAAAACTTTTCTTTTGTTGCAGCTTTAAACCCTTCAGAACCCTATCTAAAGGATTTTAATATTTAAATTTCTCAAGCAGGAGGTTATTTCTAAGGACTTTATCTGTCTGAGTAGGATAGGAAGCTTTCATTGAAGTTCACCAATAAATATAATTCATTACTTAACACAAAACTAAAGGAACATAGCTGGGGACAGTCACTCTTAAAAAGTTTATTCTTAAACAAATAAAAATATAAGTTATGACACTACAAAACTTTGTATCCAGAGAGCAGATGCTTTAGGCTAAGCCTCACAATACCTGTGCAAGACAATCACTAACCCATTAGGGAGGAAAAGCTGCTGCACAAAAATGACAGCAACAAAGAGGCTATGATTTATCAAAGGACATATGYTTAGGCTGCAGTCAATCTGCTAACAAAATCCTAATCTCTCACCCCATTTTTGAAGGTCAGAAGGATTGCCTGCTGCAACAGAAGGTAAAATAAGCAAGAAAAATAGAACAACTCTAAAACCTCGTTCAAAGGGAAGCAGCAATAAATTGGGTTTTGTGGGGTTTTTAAGCACAGCCTGCATTAGCCCTGACCATACCCCTGCAGACTAATGCTACCTYGGASCTGAAATTTGCTTTGTTGMTAGTTTTCTGTAYGGTTGGGGATTTTYTAATATTTAAAAAAATGCTGCTTCCCAAAATAGGTTGATATGTCATAATCTGAACATYTCAGTCTGTGTCAGATGCTCCCTTCTAAGTAGGAAGTTACTAATTTTAATCTGAAACACAAAAAAATGTTATTTTCCCTTTCTCAGATAATTGAATTATTAAAATAATAGGCAAATTTAAAATTGAAATATCTTAAATTGGACTGATTTCCTTTGSAAGTGGAG